TATTGTTTTGTCATGATTTCTCATCGATCTTCTGTTATTACTGTCTTGCACTTTTAGACGGACCCCCTCCTTTAGAATGGGCGCATGTATATTACACGTCAAAGTTAAACTGCATCAGGACCTTGTCAACAATGATTTTGGGGGAAAATATGCACTTATCCATAGTGGGTAATTCTCAGACTTGTGGATATTGCTGCAAGGATGTCAAAGAGTATGCATAGTTTCCTTGTAGTTGTAGCTCCATGCTTTTATGGACTAAGTGCGTTTTACAGACGTAGTTTACCTTTGGACACATTACAGTTGTAAAAAAAAAAAAACGATTGTATTACGATGTTATTATTAAATACGATGCCTTGAGAAATACCGATTTTACAGAGCTTCATAAAAGCCACAAGTTCAAAAGAAATTATGTTGCATTTTAACAAAGCAAGTCCAGTTTTTTTTATAATTATGCTGTATCCCACTGTCACGATGAATGTATGTACTGTATGCTGCTGTGCTGAGAGATAGATTCTAAAATTAACATAATCGGCTTTGTGTGTTAAGGGGCAACGTGTGGCTTGCTCGGGTAACCTGTGTGCCTGTAGGTCGCCGGTTCAAACCCAGCCTCATCAAGTCTGCGGGTCCTTGAGCAAGGTCCTTATCTCCCACCTCCCTGGGCGCCCCAACAGGTGGCTGCCCTTCGTGGACAGCTTACTCTACAAAAAAGAGCAAGTTGAGGGAGGCGTAAAAAAGACAATTTCCCCACGGGGATCAATAAAGTATCGATTATTATCTCTGTCTCCCTGTGCTGTATTTTCTGATTTACCTATTTAGATACATGATACTTAACAGAATTTCTTCATCATACAAGGAATGTACAAGATATATACAAGGAATTACAAGAAATGTAAATCGATTTCGCTTCGGGACTCGATCACAATAATAACCTTGCGGTGAAACACGTGAGATGAGGCAAAGTCCGGCTAAAACTCGGGGGAATCCCGAAGATGGATGGACTGCGCCGGGGTGACCTGCCGGGAAATCACCTTAAAGTCTGATATAAATAAATAACGATACCAGATCGGATATGTAATTGAACTTCAGGAAGATGTACCGCAAAAACGGTCAGATACAAATTTACCAATAATAGTAATCTTCAACGAAATGACGTAAGGTTCTTTACTGATGGTGTTGTGCTGTAAGAGATGCATTCTAAGACGAAAACATAATCCGCTTTGTGTGTATCTCTGTCTCTTTGTGCTGCATTTTGTTTGTCATTCACTGGCTTAGATACGTACAGAAAGGCAGGACACGGAAATTAACAGAAGCTCTTCAATATACAAGAAATTCACGAGATATTCCAAGAAATGTTAATACCTAAATGCGAGGGGCTCACATACACTTTTTTCTTCATGAAACGTATATATGTTATCATCTATAAGTAAATAAGTACAGAAAACAACCCACTGTTTCTGTCCTCGTAGTCTCCAACAGTGAGTTCGAAATCACGGGCTCTACCACCTATACTAGCTCCGGCTTCCGCCCACTTCACCACAGAGGCTGGTAACACAGCCTGCCCTGTATGTATAAATCGATATTTATTTCGTGGATACGATCTTTTGACATATTTTTGACAGTTTACTGAAAAGCCTCGGTGCTTCAACAAGGTTTCATCTCCCCATCACTACTCTTTAGTTATATGTGCCTGTTATTATCTTTTACAACAATTGTGACAGACAGTTGCCAATGGATAGTTTGGAGTATGTGAATGTGCGTAATTGTGAAGAGGGATGTGAAATTGGTCAGAGGTGTTAATAAAGCTGCTACTGCAAACTGAGTGCAGAATAGGGAACAATGCTTGTGCTTATGAGAGGGCAGTGTGCGTGTCCAGAAGGCAGATTCAGGAACCTTATTTAGGTTATACCTATTTGATTGATACCTTTGGAATAGGAATAGGATGACATTGTGTGATCAAGAGTCCACAGAGATTTAAATGATCATTATGTATTCGCAATGCATGATTCGATCTCTAGCGTAAATCCACATAGTCGATTGGGTGGGACTTTACACATGACGCTTCAAAAGTCATGAATTATGTCATCATAGGATATACATACCTGTCAAGTTTTGGATTTGAAAATTTTCCGGCACCCACCGCCAGCCACCCCACCACCCCAACCAAGCTCCAGTATCCCTTACATTTTAAGACAGGTGTACAAGAAATCTAAAATAACCACTTGTCATTTACATTTTATTACACATTTTCTTTTAATTTCTCATGTTCACTCGTGTGGCTCTCTGGCATTCACTAATGACTTATTATACACATTTGTTGCAGACTTTGTATCCTTGTTGAAGTCGTCACAGAAGGTGAAAGTAACGTTGTTTTTGGCACACAGCATTGCCATTTTAACCTCCGCGTTTATGACCTGGTTAATGTTGTAAATGACCTGCAGACTACTGCAGGTGGCAGTTCTCGCGAGGCTACTGGCAGTTCAGTTTGGAGAGGTAGATGATTTTTTTTAACTGATATTATAATACGTTAGATTTACGGGAAAATACAAATACGGAAGGACGGCGGGAAAGAGGGGTAAAATGCGGTAGTTAACAGGTGTTGTGCCAAAAAGTGACTGTCTGCCAGAAACTGATTACGATCCGCGGGAGCGCGCACAGCCTGTTCAGGATGCATCGCAGTTTCTGTGCGACTAAGGCGGGTAATTTCGATATCAAATCGTCTTAAAATGCAAAAAGTATGTAGTACATGTATCCCCGAGATAAAAGCGAAGGTATGTCTTTGTCAGATTTAAGGGTTTGGTGGATTTTTAAATAAATAATTGCAATAAGAGTCAAAGGAAGCCATTGTCATGTAAAACGCTTTAAATTAAAACAGTCCTCGGTCGTAACTGCGTTGTAAAACTGTAACCTTACGTCATGAAACCAGGGAAGTTCAAATGCGACACATTAATGTAGATATATGCTCATAAATGTTCCTACGTCTAAATGAGTTTCGCTACACAACCGATGTGGATTAATTAAATAAAGACAATTCTTCATCTTGCAGTCATATTAAAGAGTCAGTGGATTTTTCCTGCTCTGTGCTGCAGTATCAACTATCCAGTCCTTTTTACCACTTTTAACACCGGTATAGGACCAGTATAACCAGTACAATGTAGTTTACCCATTGCCAAAAAGTGATTACACTCAATATCTCTTTACTGAATGGCTCTTTCTGTCTGATTTTAATTTCTTTACACTCTTCTGGGTTGTATGT